CCAAAAACTATCAAATGCACTCAAAAGCCTAAAATTGAAAAAAAGTTTGCAGGAATCGACCAATCAAGCGAGCGCCATTCCCCACATCGTATCTACAACTCGCTCTTGCGCATGCGCGCAATTCACGAGTTTAAAAATGGTTCGAGTTAGCGGAAATTCAAGTTATCTGTTGGCCTGTCCCGATTGTGCTCAGCAACTTTTGAGCAACGTTTGAGCAACTTTGGGGCAACTTTTTGCAGTTCTAGCAACCTAGAGAAATTTCTGCCTTTTTGAGCAAGTAAATGGATTTAGAGCACAAAAGCACGAAAACGTCAACGATTTCATAGAAAAGGATAATTTAGTATTATCCACTGAGTTGATTACGTAAATTAGCCACCCTAATGATCGAGTTCAAAAGCTGACGTTTCGAATGTTAGCCCTTCTTTAGAGCGATAGACGAAGGGCTAACGCTCGAAACGTCAGCTTTTTAACCATTTAAGGTATCAACTCAGTTGATAACACTAAATTACCCTGTTATACTCTCCCACAGACGCAGCACTACAGTTTGTTTAGAAACTTACCCCCTTTATTCCCCTGATTTCATAGAAAACTTCACTTTCTGCGAATTCCTTGAATATTAATCAACCTTTAGAACACAGCCTGTCACTTGACCCTGTTTCGCTGACCTATTGTGATCCTTATCTGGTGTGTGTGCTCGGTGTTGAAGGATTTGAACCTTGCCTGGGTGGGGTGGGGAATTTGAACCGGAAATGTCGAGTCTTTGTAGCCGAGGTGTTCAAAGGTAAAAGAATTCACTTTCCCGAAAAGATGGCTCAGAAGTAAAGGTCTATCAGAAAGTCACGGGCCTTTAAATCAAGGAATTTGAGAGTTTCTTTAAAATATTTGAAATTATATCCATTTATTTGCACCTTACGGTCTCTTAAGCTGTATCGTTCTGTGCCGAGAAAAGGAGAATTTCGTTGGGGGTGGGGGACGGGGGATTTAGCGCGTGGTGTCTGTCCACACAGCGTTCTTTGGTTCTTAGTCCTCTTTGAAACTCGAAAACTTATCCTAAGTTAGGATAACTAAGTTATCCTCATAGAGAAGCTCTGTCCCTTTTCCTTGCTTATCGTCGTTTTCTCTTTTCCCCTCCAAGAACTTTTTTTGTTCAGAAATCAGATTGCAGAAATATGCTGCAACCCTCAACATATTGTATATTGACCCGAAAGCGAAAAAAACAAAGAACACAAATCTTAATTATTTTTTCTGACATGCAGGATTGTAAGTGTGTTGTCGCATCTAGTGCCGTCAGTACGTGTGTGTGTTTGTTTTGTTTATTTGTATGTATGATTTAGTCTGCCTTGGTAGATTTAGTGGCTATTCCAGAATATAAACGAAAGAAAACTCTTGGATCTGCTTTGAAAAGTATGATCAAAACTTCCCGAGTGATCACGACAGTTGATATCAGAGTAACCATGTAGAGCTTTAAGCCGGAGCTGTCATATTAAGTTTTATGTCAAAATAAACTATCACTTAATAGTTCGTGTACAGTCAGAAACCGTCTCATCTTTATGTCTCTGAAATAACATGGGTTGCACGTGGGTTAAAGACAACGGTCTAGTGTCGGACATGGGCCAGGGGATTAATTCTGGCTAATCTCCCGCGCAAAATTTCAAAAGAAAACATAAGAAACCGTTGTTTTGCAAAAGAAGCGAATGGACGATAGAATGTTCGAAGAAATCTGTAGAAGGAAACAAAAGTTCACATGCACAGACGATTGGAAGCTCTGATGTCGAGTGGTAGGGATAATTAATGCGACTTTCAACTTGCTTGGAACGTCAACGAAGGACATTTCTTGGTGGGAGGGTTAGGGCGGTGTAAATCATTCTCTTTGTACCTTCAATTTATTCGTCGAGTGTCCGGCATAGACGATTGACGACTTCGTAAAAGGATTAACCCATTTTTCCAGGAGAGGTGTAAAACGAAAATGTACGGCGATGTCAAATAGCCGACAGTGACAAGTGAGGATACGCCGGTCAGAGCGGGAAAGTGGTAGAGGAACTTTAAAACTATGATGAAAGACCTGGCTTCCTTGTAGTCGGCTTCGCAGCCAATTTTGGGTGAAATGGCCGAGAAAAGGACTAGCTTGCCCTGCCCTTTAGAAAGTCGGGATCTCGAGTGCATTTGAGTGGGAGACAATTCAGAGAATATTGTGTGCGAGTTGCAGTTCTGGGCACGAAATACTCTTTTGAGTGTTTGAGTGATAACAACTGTTATGAAAGTTCCACTCCCACGAATACCGTCAAACACTTCGAATAACTTCATAGAATATATACGATTTATTTGTCTAATTAACTGCCTCTTAACAGCACTCTCCTTCCTTTACGCCCATCCTTTACAATCATAATTACAGTTAACTAGAACTTGGATTCAAGATCGTCAAGGACCTATCCAAGACAATGATTTCACCTCAAGAAAGCCTACGCCCACTAGGAAGGGGTGCAGGGAAGAGAGATCAGACCACAGCTGTTCGAAGGTTGGATCACGCTATCCACTTGTTAAATCTCTATCTGGTGGATAGCGCAGCATCTTTTGTTAACACTTATCCACTGGATAGTGATTTATCCGTTGGATCTGCTCTTTAAACAGGTAGGACCAAAAGTTCAAGATAACGGTACTCGACTAATAAGACAAAAAGAGTTGTTAGTTACATTTTATCTGCGACTTAATGCGAGCCTCTACTTGTTTCTTATCAATCACTTTATCGACTTGTTCCCCAATCGGGAATGAAGTCGTCTTCAGATACGTTTGATTAACTTCAGCCACGAAAAGTGACTCTTTAAAACAAATGATTATAATAACATTCCCTGCTTACTACAAACTATTGCTAATAAGCATTATTAAAAGGTATCGCGATCCTTCCATAGTTTTACTCACAAGAGAGACACCTTTCAAGGCGGTATAGTCGTATCACTTTTACAGCCTTTCAAAGTTTGGCCCTCAATCAATAATGGTAGGTTTCGGAACCTCGAACTCTCCATGCATTCTACAACGATGTTTCTGTTGGCTCGCTTGCGGCACTAGATGCCACGAAAATGCGAGGGATTTCAAGCAACCGCTGGAAAAATACGAGACGACGTGGATTGAAATTTTGGTAGGTCTAAATCTATCTCTTTTTTTCCTTTTTCTAGTTTAAGTTATCCTCAATGGTTGGATCACGATACAAAACTTATTCGCTTTTGTTACTACGGCAATACCGTATTAGCAGTGATACTGCGCTATACCTTAGTCGATATAAATATTTAACGACAGTAAGTGCGGATCTTCAGTTTTTTGTGCTCGCGGGTCAGCTATCCTCGCAACAAAGCTATAGATAGCGTATGGTAATCATGTCCCATAAAATTTCACAACTTTGGCGATCGAGATACTTTTTTAGCCATGCGCTCAGCTTAATCATCTCACACGAACGAATTCCACTCATAACAAATTTTAGTATATACTAAAACAGTAGATAGTGTTAAAGGCACGCTCTGATTGGCCGCTCAAACTTCGAACATCCTTTGCTATTCACTGCCGAGCAACTCGCGCGGGATTGCACCAGAAATTATTTTAATCGTTGCAGGAATAAGCGAGTTGAAATCATATTTTGGGGCTATATCATCTCACAGTTTTAGTATATGGTAAAACAACTATTCCCTTAATGTCAGTAACTAGCGGTGGATATTTACTTCGCCTCTTCGCGGTTCGGTAAATATTCACCACTATCCACTTCCACTTCGGTAAATAGTTGTTTGGTAGTAACTTGTTCTCATGCATAACACACACATTCGCCTTCCGTTCCCATTGACATTTGCAAAGATTTTTCTTGAAGTGTTCATCATTTCCCTTCACGGTCCGAGTTAATGGGTTTCTACAGTGTCGTAACCAAATCTTTTCTGTTTGAATCGAGTTACTTCCACATCTGTCCGATCTGTTATTCTGCAAGCACTCCTACCATTATAGCTCCACCAAACGGTTGTGTAGTTAAGTTTTTTCGTTCTTGTTTTAGTTTTGATTGAGTTCGTTTGTCTTTTTGTATAGCCTACAAAAAAAAGTTACAAAGCATACCAATATAAATCTATATAGAGTATTTTCGTATTATCAACCGTAAAGAGTTTCAAAGCTGATGTTTCGAGCGTTAGCCTTCGTCAGAGCGATAGACGAAGGGCTAACGCTCGAAACGTCAGCTTTTGAACTCTTTCCGATGGCCAGTTCACGTTATCAGCTCGGTCGATAATACTAAATTTCCCTGTTATACTCTCCCACCGACGCAGCACCACGGGTTTTTTAGAAAATTACCCCCTTTACTCAATATAAATCTATGTTTCCACGTCTACACTTCAAACAATAAAGAGAAAATGTTCTGTTCCGTGTATGAAGTATTTCTCTTTCATCTCTTTCATCTATGTTCACAAAAAAATCGTATCACGGTAAACCTGATTATCTTTCTCTTTTTCACCTTATGCATATCGTCTCGTAACTCACAACAGCCGATGTGAAATCGCCCTATGTACCGAATTTCGCACAACGTTAAGACCAATTATCCTGTGCGCTCTGGTGACCACATCAACGTCTTGCGTGTACCGTTATAAGCATGCGGAATGTCAATGGGCGCAGACCTCATCCAAATGGACAATTCACAATTTAAGGCTTTAACAAAACACATCATGACGACTGCTATTTTGAATTGTTTCATTGACTAAAGAAATTCGAACTAAAAGTGCTTCTTCTAAATTTCTCTAACGATTCAAACTTTAGCTATCTTTTCTTACATTTTACTGATACAGTTCCAAATTATTGATAAAAGCTATCCTCATTTTTAGTTGCATTTTATCATTAACGACTCCTCTATATCATCATAATAAAATGATACTGATCGTGTCTGAAGACTTACTAACTAACTCACCAGACAAATCATTTCTGAGGAAATATCTTTACGCTTTATATTTAAATGTACACAACCAATAGTAACAAAAACTGTCTCACGTTGGCTGTTCAAGTTCATCGATTATTTCCTCCATACAAGGTCTCTCCTCAGGCTCTGTTTGCAAGCATCCCCGGATGAGAGCTCGAATCACGCGGTTTGATACAAGTGCAACTTGCTGTTCACGCTTTTCAGGATCTGGCATTTCCTGGATCGACATCTCACAAAGAAGAACACCAAAACTGTATACATCAACCTGAATATCGAAAACAACTTAGTTTAAAATCAATGACATTAACCAAAATAGCGGCAATGAAGTCGGTAATAATTATAATGTCGATGACGATCTGATAATGATCGCGTTCAGTGAATAAAATTTGAGGGTACACACCACTGACAAAGGGTCATTGAGAGAAAAAAAACAAACATTAAATCAAATATACCTTAACGGTCTGATTTTTAGTGACCGCTTCAGGTGCACTGTAAATTGGCGCTCCAGGTGCAACTATCATGGTATGTCGCATGAAATTGGCTGTGCCATAATCTGACACCTTGGCTCGCCATTGGTCACCCTGTCGCCACAACAACACATTTGCACTACTGATGTCCCGGTGAATGATGGGAAATGGTTGCTTCTGGTGAAGATAGTTTAATGCTCGAGCCACATCCAGGGAAATAACGAACAATTCAGAGGCAGAAAGCGGTCGCTTTAACAGTGCTCGTAAACTTGTTTCCATGAGCTCTGTAACAAACAAAGGACTTCCTTCGTCATTTGTTGCCCCAATGAACGACATCTTGAGGCAATGTTCATTTCTCGCACAAACAAACTGCGGTTGTGATTGGAAAGAATCAACTCATGGATTTGTTTCACAGCTACGGCACAACCACAATACTTTCCTTCCACAACATTTCCCCAGCCTCCCCTTCCAAGGCATTTATCTGTCACGTAAATTTGATCGCGTGAAATGACCCAGTCAGGTGACTCCTGCCGTTGACGTGCATTTAACGCTAATTGTTGAGCTGTCGAGAGAGTCATTTCCAGTTCAGTCACCTGATTTTTTAAACCAGCAATTTCTTCATCTTTTCCCTGTAGTTGCTCTTGGATATTGGTCAATTGCTGTGTCGCCTCTCTAATTTGTACGTCTGAATTCACTAAATGTTCATGTAACTGTCTTCGTAAGTTTGTCACTTGTTCCTCTACTTCCTGGATTTGTGTCTCTGAGTTCACTAACTGATCACGCTTCTCTTGTAGCTGTCCTTGAGCGTTTGTCAGCTGTTCCTCCATCTTTTTCACTCGTGCTTCGGAGTTCACTAACTGATCGTGCTTCTCTTGTAACTGTCCTTGAGCTTTTGTCAGCTGTTCCTCCATCTTTTTCACTTGTGCTTCGGAGTTCATAAACTGATCATGCTTCTCTTGTAACTGTCCTTGAGCGTTTGTCAGCTGTTCCGTCATCTTTTTCACTTTTGCTTCAGAGTTCACAAGCTGATCATGCTTCCCTTGCAGTCGTTCGTGTTCCTCTACCAACCGTTGCTCCATCTCCCGCAACTGTCTCTGTAATCTGTCACCTTGTTCCTGCTTTTCCGACTCTTTCTCTTTCAGCTGTTCTCGTAATCGAGTCAACTGCTGCTCCATCTCTCTCAATCGTTCGCGTAAACTCTTTTCTTCTTCGTTATTTTCTCTCGGTTTCTCTTGCAAGCTCGGCAGCAGACCCTCCATGTCTCGTGATTGTCGTTGCTTTCCTTGAGGGGAATGAAACATAAATGACAAAATGGGAAACCTCTAAATGCAGAGAACCCACACACAACACAGGGTGTTCCTACAAGTTGGCACATACTGCCAGGCTCCTTTCTAGGGGATATCGTCACAAAAAGGTTGAAAGAGTCTGGCAACTGCATCATTCACAACTCATTGATCTTATGATCAATTCACTCTCATGAATTTGCTCCGTAAACGGAAAAAATGCACTCTGGGACACCACATCATCATATGACTTAAGCTTCAATGTTTCAAAAAGTCCAAGGCAAAAATTGAATATTTCAATTTCAAACACTTTTTTGAACTAGAAGAACAAATTCTCAACATCTGAATGTTTAACGGCAATTGAGTGAAAGAGACATCAGTTCACAGATTATGACTTTCTGCTTCACTATGCATGGTGTGCTTGACTAAGTGAATAAAAAATTTATAAAACAACTGAAATATCAAATCATTTGTTTACGTGATGGTATATTAACACAGCTCATTGATCTTGCATACATTTCATCTTCATGAATTTGCTCCTTCTTTCCCCGAGCTTCTTGTCTTGCAGCTTTTTCAGGATAACACAGATTTCAAATTCAGGATAACAACTTTTCAAATGCAACAAAACAAACAAAACCGGACCTAATTTTTAAGAAGTAAAATTCCTTTTTTCTTTCACTGATTAGCTGGATAACACTTCAAGACTCAGTCACAGTTGGTTAAATAAGCATGTTAATAAACTTACCAGTTCTAATCCTAAAATTATGTAAACATTTCCAAATGAGTTCTTCTCCTCTCCAATATATCTCACAGCTCCTCTGGCTGGACTATCATTAATAAATGTCACAAAGGCCTCAGTTTGTCCAGTCCAACAAAAACCCCACTCTCTGGCCTACACAGAAAGTATTGCTTGTTTCTGAATGTTCCATCGCATGTTCCTGACCCTGGATGTTTCTAGATATGTTGAACCACAGATCATAATCATTAACATTGAAGATTATTTTCATCATTAACTATCATTATGAAAAATTTGACAGATTTCAATCAAGAAAGCAGGAGATTTTAAAACAAATGCTGCATAATTTCTCTTGCAAACAAACTTTTGACAGCCAAATCTTTTACCAGTACCCGATCCCACTCTTTGGTCCTAAATAAAAATGTGACAGACGGACACAACAACTTTTAAAACACCAACTCCAAAGATACGTTTGTCAAAACCTTATTTTAGGTATTCTATATTCTTTAAGCATATTTGAAACTCTGTACGTTTTTTAATAAACGTTGAGCATGACGAATTTGTTGTTAGGAGGTGTAAGGCTTCTCCTTTCGCGAATCCCGTATTCACGGCTTTAATTGTATGACATGGAAAATAGTTCGTGTATTAGAAGGTCGCTGCCTCTTGAGGCTCCTTTCACTTCAACGGAATGCGCTTGCATGTCAAGGACGATTCTCCGTTAAATAACTCGTGGATTTGATATTATTCACACAGCGATCAGCTGTGGTGAAACTGCTGCAAAATGAATAGATTCTCGGGCAAGACTGCTGTTTCGATTCTTTCTGAACATTCTTCAATTGCCTCCTAACAACGAATTTGTCACGGAGGAATAAGTAAACAGAGTCGCACAGGCCCGCAAACACCTTTTAATTTTCGAAGGAACTGCAACAGACAGTGAATTTCCATTAAATTCCACGTTTATTCACGCTATCTTTTTACCAGAGATGTTCGAGTCTACCACGACAGGATGCAAATGACTTATTGGGTTTTCCATTTCGTGCCGAGGAGACAGGAACGACGATTTCACCTTCACTGTGAACAAACTATTCAGGAATAGCTCCGACCCAAGCCTGGCAGTGTGCGCACTCCGATTGCGTTGCATTGTGGTAGCTTCATTTTCAATATGGCGGTGAAAGCAGCAGAATTCAGCAGATTTTGACTGAACATTCCGTAAAAGTTAGGCCGTTCCTTTTTCCTTTCACCATCGGTAAATGTAATTTGATTTATTCTGAATATGTAAAAGTATTTTTTGTTCGTATTTGTCGCGTATTCTATGGTTCTCAAGGACAAACGCGATCACTGTTTTTTTTGTATGTAACTTGAGACCGGATTTCAAGAAGGTCAAATTTGATGTACGTCGTAGTTTGGAGCCTTTCAAAGATTTGGATGGCTGCTTTGATCCTTCTTTAACAGCTCTGACTAAACGATCTCAAACGCTCTCCAACGGTACATGTGTTTCTCGCATTTTAAGTGCGGGTGTTTGAGACCGATTATGGCCGAGAAAAAGCTTATTGTTGCGTTACACAGCGTTACTATTATATACTCAATTGTGTTGTAAATCTACTTTCCTAAGTAAAAGGAAATTAACTTATCGCGAGTGTTGTATGGTAAATCTATTATCTTGATCATTGAATGAAGGACAGTTGAATTTGAGCCATGAATAGAATCACTTGACCAATGAATAACTCCACAATACACAAGGCGACACACCGGGTAAGCCGGAAAGCAAAAGGTATTCGATCGTTAAGCGGATGTCTACAAAACGAAGACCGAAGACCGAAGACCGAAGACCAAATACCGAAGACCGAAGACCGAAAAACGAAGACCCTACTAATTTTTTTGCCCGAATAAGGTCACCATAGCTGACTCAGTGACAGGTTTCGCATATGGTTTATGTCAGTGGGCGACAGGATCGGAAACTCACGCCCACGAACCGAAGCTCCGTCATAAAATTGGATAGCTCGTTCTTAATCAGGAGCTCCGAAATCATGACCCCGTCGGGCAGCACATACCCCTATAAGCAATGTATAGGAGTTCTCCCCCCCCCTTCCCCGGGGTCTGACAAAGCGTTTTAGCAAGGATCTTCGTTTTATAGATTCAAGCGGCTTTTTCTACAAAACGAAGACCTCATTGATTTCGCGTCAATTGGCGTCTGACAAAGCGTTTTAGTGAGGGTCTTCGTTTTATAGATTCAGGGGTCTTTTCTACAAAACGAAGATCCCCTTGATTTCGCATCAATTGGGGTCTAACAAAGCGTTTTAGTAAGGGTCTTAGTTTTGTAGATTCAGGGGGTCTTTTCTACAAAACGAAGATCCCCGTTATTTTCACATCTGTTTGCGCTGAGGAACGCTTTGGCTTGGTTTTTTAACTGTCCGTGCCTTATTCGGGCAAAAAAATTAGGGTCTTCGTTTTTCGGTCTTCGGTCTTTGGTCTTCGGTCTTCGGTCTTCGTTTTGTAGACACCCATCGTTAAACGGTGTTGATTGCTTGAGCGACTTCTGCCACTCGCTTGCGCTTTTAAATCTTCTAACCTGAAAGCTTAGCTGTTATTAGGATATCCTTTAATGACTTCCGTTTACGATGTGATATTAAGGGTTAGTTTTAAGGTGTCATTTCCCCATCTGTATGTTCTTGAGATTTGGCAAAGCCGGATGAGATTGTGTTACAAAAGGTAATATTTTCATGTGTGCGCGCTATTTTTTTTTTTAAGTATCAGTCTCTCCTGCAGAATACAACTCCAAAGATACGTTTGTCAAAACCTAATTTTAGGTATTCTATATTCTTTAAGCATATTTGAAACTCTGTACGTTTTTTAATAAACGTTGAGCATGACGAATTTGTTGTTAGGAGGTGTAAGGCTTCTCCTTTCGCGAATCCCGTATTCACGGCTTTAATTGTATGACATGGAAAATAGTTCGTGTATTAGAAGGTCGCTGCCTCTTTGGAATGCGCTTGCATGTCAAGGACGATTCTCCGTTAAATAACTCGTGGATTTGATATTATTCACACAGCGATCAGCTGTGTGTGAAACTGCTGCAAAATGAATAGATTCTCGGGCAAGACTGCTGTTTCGATTCTTTCTGAATGTCTTCAATTGCCTCCTAACAACGAATTTGTCACGGAGGAATAACAGGAGTCGCACAGGCCCGCAAACGCTTTTTAATTTTCGAAGGAACTGCAACAGACAGTGAATTTCCATTAAATTCCACGTTTATTCACGCTATCTTGCTGCTACCAGAGATGTTCACTCGACCACGACAGGATGCAAATGACTTATTGTTTCATTTTACGACCATGATGCAACGCAATCAGAGTGCGCACAGCACCTGGACCCAAGTGGTGCCTGGCTCCGACCCAGGCGGTGTGCGCACTCCGATTGCGTTGCATTGTGGTAGCTCCATTTCCAATATGGCGATGAAAGCGGTAGAAATCGGCAGATTTTGACTGAACATTCCGTAGAAGTTAGGCCGTTCCTTTTTCCTTTCACCATTGGTAAATATAATTTTATTTATCATGAATGTATAAAAGTATTTTTTGTACGTATTTGTCGTGTATTCTATGGTTCTCAAGGAAAAACGCAATCACTGCTTTTTAGTATGTAATTTGAGACCAGTTTTCGAGAAGGTCAAATTTGATGTACGTCGTAGTTTGGAGCCTTTCAAAGATTTGGATAGCGGCTTTGATACTTCTTCAACAGCTCTGGCCAAACGATCTCAAACGCTCTCCAATGGTACATGTGTTTCTCGCATTTTAAGTGCTAGTGTTTGAGACTGATTATGACCGAGAAAAGGCCTATTGTTGCGTTACACAGCGTTACTATTGTATACTCAATTGTGTTGTAAATCTACTTTCCTAAGTAAAAGAAAATTAGCAAATCGCGAGTGTTGTATGGTAAATCTATTTTCTGGATCATTGAATGAAGGACAGTTGAATTAGAACAATGAAAGGAGTCACTTCACCACTGAATAACCTTACATTGCATACGGCGACACGCCGAATAAGCTGGAAAGCGAAAGGCAGTTGATCGTTAAAAGGTGTTGAGAGACTTGTGCGACTCCTGCCATTCACTTACGCTTTTATATCTTCTGACCTGAAAACTAAGCTGTCATTAAGATATCTTTTAATGAATTTCCTTTACGATGTGATGATAAGGGTTAGTTTCCTGTCATTTCCCTCTCTGTATGTTCTTGAAGTTTGGCAAAGCCGGATGAGATTGTGTCACAAAAGATAATATTTTCATGTGTGCGCGCTATTTTCTCTGTTTTCAAGTACATACTCTCTCTCCCGCAGAAGATAACTCCAGAGAGTTAACAAAACCTTATTCTGAGTATTCTCTATTCTTTTAAGCATACTTGAAAATCTGTACGTTTTTTTTATTAAACGTTAAGCGTGGCGAATTTTGGCTTCTCCTTTCCCGAATCCCGTATTTACGCCTTTAAGTGCTTGATATGAAACGTGGTTCGTGTATTAGAAGGTCGCTGTCTCTTTGTAATACGTTTGCATGCCAAGGGTCGATTCCGTGTTAAATAACTCGTGAATTTGATATTATTCACACAGCCATCGGCTGTGAGTGTGACTGCTGCCAAATGAATAGATTCTTGGGCAAGGCTGCAGTTTCGATTCTATCTGAATCTCGTCAGTTGCCTCGGAACAGCGAATTTGTCACGGGAGAATAACAAGAGTCGCGCAGGCCTGCGAACTCTTTTTAACTTTCGAAGGAACTGCAACAGACAGTGAATCCTCGTTACATTCCACGTTTATTCACGCTATCTTGCTGCCACCAGAGATGTTTTCTCGACCACGACAGGATGCAAATAACTCACTTTCCGTTTTACGACCATGATGCAACGCAATCAGAGTGCGCACACCGCCTGGCTCCGACCTGTAACTGAGTGATAAAAGTTAATAAGTTATGTCTTAACTTCCTGCTCGTGAGTATTGTTTAACCGTGTCTCTCGAAGCGGAAAATGAAATATCAATGCGAGTGAAAACACCGATGTGTCAAACAAGAAATGGCTACTTACATAACAAAAAGAAGGCAGAGTCTTTCTTGTTCAGCGAGGTCGTTCAGCGATATTCCGGCGATGAAAAAAGTCATTCGCTGACAAAACGCATTTAGTCAGTCAGAGGCTGGAGTAGCCTACGTGTAACCGTACCCTCCGCCGCAAGGTCAAACGGTTACCTCGCCTGGTGGGGTGGGGAATTTGAAGCGGAACTGTCAAGACTTTATAGCCAATATACCCGTTTTATAATTTAATAGAAAGGTGTTTGAAGGTAAAGAATTCACTTTCCCGCAGAGATTCATAAGAATAAAAGGTCTATCAGAAAGTCACGGGTCTTTAAATCAAGGAATTTGAAAGTTTCTTTTAAATATTTGAAATTAAATCCATTTATTTGCACCTTACGGTCTCTTAAACTCTTCTGATTGCTTTCCGGTCACTGTTACTGATGTTTGCCGGCACTGTGTAGGTATACGTGGTGCGACAGACCATCAAGTATAACTCTTATAGTGTGGTTTCAATGAAGCGAGCAACGAACAAAAAGTCAAAAGTAATCCGAAATGAAACCTTCACGATTGGGAAGCCTGTGGCTTGTTTAATGAAAATACTCTTGAAAAGCGAAAAACAAAACCCAAGGGAGTAAAGTGAGTTCCTTGGTTTCTTAGAACACTGTCTCAGTAAGGGTCAAGTAGTTTATCATTTTCAAATAACATGATAACATAAAAGTTGCCAATTACCTTAATTATTTCCAAAAAACTACAATTGGAGAGGAAACTCACTGAATTTGAGTAATCACATTAGTTAAATGAAATTAAGTGTCATAGGCAATAATGGCTTTATAAAGTTGATAGAGCAATCTAAACAGCGTACACAACTGTACAACTTTCCCCCGCTATTTTATCCTGAGTCTCTACATTTAAGTCTAACCCGAAACAACTATTACAAATTAAAATAAAATCAGCGTGCTTTGCACGCCTTAACAAGATCGTACAGCTATTTCGCTATTTCAAGCATAATACTAGCAAAATATTTATTTTGCGTAATAAGGACGTATCTAACACATGATTAATTGAACTGGCGAGCTACAAACTAATCGATATTTTGCACGGTTCGCTTTACAATCAGGCCTAGGTTGTTCAAAGCTGAGTTTAAATAACCTAGGGTTAGTCTGAAATTTTATTACAGGTCTGAAAGCTTTAAAAGAAAATGCAGTTCAAATCTTTTTGCTTGCAATTTGATCACTGGATGTTCTAACGAGGTGATAGGGAAAATTGTCTCTAAGAGGCTTTTGAACAAAGGAATAAAGAAACCTGGATTAAAATTTACCCCTGAGTTAGCGCTAATCGGCCTTCGAACAACTGGGCGCTGGAGAACATTTTCCCATAAACTCCCCCTCTATCATTTCTATGTAATTTTTTTTCTATGGACTTCTGAAAAGCAGGTTTTGTTAAAAAAAAAAAAAAAAAAAAAAGCACAATGTGACCATTTGTGATCCGAATAAAATGCATTAAAACTATTTCTATCTGAATACGTGCCGAAAATGGTTTAGCTAGAACTGGGGAGTATAAAATGACATCCCCTCAATTCAAACCCTACTGAACATACGACAAAGGTCTTACGTCTAATGTATCAAAATGTCTCGATCCATATCCATTTCGAAATAAGCGATAATACTTGACTATATAGACCCCATGGCGGAATTGATCAGTATTCTTTTTTATTCATGTAGATTATCCCAAATAGCATTGCCAGTGTGTCTTTAGAACAACAAAACCTTAACTCAAAGATGAGGCCAATCCGGCCTGCCATTTATGCACACTGTCTATTTTATGTCAACACGATAAAAAACCCTGACCTTCTAACGATTTTATCAAAATTAATATTAATGTCCGTTACACTCAGTTTAAGTTGATTCATAAACTTACATCAACGTGAAATGCGCACAAACATACAATAAACAAATCACAGCTTAACTTCACGGTTTGATTTTTAGTAAGTGCTTCAGGGGCACTGTATATCATAGCACCAGGAGAAACTGTCGTGGTCTGCCGCATAAAGTTGGCAGTTCCATAATCTGACACTTTGCCTCGCTAATGTTCACCCTGTCGCCAAAATAGCACATTTGCGCTGCTGATGTCGCGGTGAATAATTGGAGATGGTTGCTTCTGGTGAAGGTGACTCAGCGCCCGAGCGACATCCAGGGAAATAAAAGACATTTCAATCTACGAAAGAGCTCTCTGTTCTAACAGAGTGCGTAAACTTGTTTCCATGAGCTCTGTTACAAACAATGGATCCCCTTCGTCATTTGTAGCTCCGATGAAATGCAGCAAGCAAGGGTGGCGGCATCTTGAGGCAATATTCATTTCTCGCTCAAATAATTTGCAGTGGTGAGGAGAAAGAATCAACTCATGGATCTGTTTCACTTCAACAGAACAACCACAAAATTTTCCTTCGACGACACTTCCCCAGCCTCCTTTGCCGAGAAATTTACTAGTTAGCTGAATGTGATCCCTTGAAATGAACCACTCAGGGGACTGTTGTCGTTGATGTTCACATAACTCATCCTGAGCTGCGGACAGAGTTGTTTCAAATTCATTAATTTCCTGGTCTTTTTCCTCCAGTTGTTGCCTTAAGGCAGTAACTTGATTCTGTAAATTAGCAGTTTCTCATCTTTTTCTTGTAACTGCCCTCGGACAATCGTCATTTGCTAGGTGACATCTCTCAGTCGTTCATTTCTCTCTTGCATTTGTCCACGCGGGTTTGTCAACTGCTGCTCCATCTTAGCCGATTGTTTCCTTAAATTTTCTTCAAGTTGTTCTTTTTTCCTCAGCTGTTCATGTAATTTGGTCTCTCTCAACTCTTTCTCTCGTAGTTCTGCTTGCAAATGTGTCACCTGCACCATCAGTTCTCTAACCAGTCTCTGACCATTTCCTTTTTGCTCCTCTTTCTCCGTCAGTAACTAGTCTGTTCACAAGACAAGAAATGTACAATTTATTGTAAATTGTAAATCCTGTGCCTGGTCATAGGATTTTCTTGGTCATTTTACCCTATAAATTTCACGTGCAAGCGAAATTTGCTGAGTGAAAAGCGTTAAAAAAATATGGGAAAAATGTCACTCCTTCAAAAGAGCGCTCTCAAATGCTTTTCACTACTTTCTGAAGTTTTCACGTGAAAAAATTGGACTCGCACAAGCGCTTCAGAGCCCGCTGAGCGGTGACTTGTGACTGAACGCGAACGATCCTGAACTTCAAACACACGTCTCCTAAGGAGCGCCTAAGTGGTAAGACACCTCCGTTGTGCACGTGCCCTCACGTTACGTAAAGGATTACAGTTGATTAGATTGATAAGATGGATAAAAAATAACGATGATGAAGATTATGATGGTCATGACGATCACTCTGTAACTAATGATAATCTTGAGCAGTCAGTGTTCTTGAACCGAGGAAGATCAAATGTATCTCAAATGCATGGAATTTACACACAAAAGACACAGGCGACGAGAAAATCAATAGGTAATCTATGTGGTACAAAACTAAACTGGCTAGCGATTAAATAACGTACATGGGGCACTTTGGCTCAGTAGTGCATACCATGTAATGATCCGGCCGCCTCTGTCATGATATTAGTCGCAGCTCTCACATATTCCCTCGAGGTTTTAATGATTACCTCGGCCTGAAGAGCAAAAACTTGATACAATATATCAAAAGCTCGCAACTCATCGAGACATGCACTTGCGAGTCTTAAAGTTGTAATCTGAATAATAAATGAAGGGTGTTTGCCTGAAGACAAGAATTTCACCTTTAGACACGGGTAAAACTGCCCAAAAAAACACTAGTAGGATTGTAAAGTCATTTTCAAAAATGGTCGATAGGTTTGTAATATTTTACCCTTGTAATCATCCTCAATCATCAAAGAGAAATGTGTAACTAAGAACGTACGAACCTTTCATTCTGAAATGTTTATGCGTTTGCTAAAATAGATGTTTGATTTGAATATTACATGGAAAATTTTTCCTTCGGTAGAACTTTAGCAAATGTAATGACATCACAAAAAAATTATCTTTATATTTCTAAAAATTATAGTGTCTGTAGGTATTCTGGTCGGTCTACAGCATTTTTTCTTAAAGTTTCAAACCTTCACTGCTGCGGTGAAAAGGAGATATTTTACGATTTTACTACGAAGGTTATTCTCAACCTGAGTACCAAACAGAGTGATACTAGTTACCGTAAAGAACTGCGCCAAGGGAAGTCTTAGGGATAAAAACAAATTTATTTCCAGAGGTTGTCTGTCAAACATGACTCCATTCTAAGACTAGACAGGCTACCCCTGTGCAACCCATGGAACAAATCGATTTGCTTTGACAACCTTAGCTCTCTCTACCTCTGCCCTAAATAACTGGGCAATCTCTATTGGTTCTGATGAAAGAAACCCTATGAGTTCCAAAGCCTGGTCTTGCATATTGTTTTTCTTTAAAGAAGACAATATTCTCAGTCTAAACTCGTCCATAAATAAACAGGCTATATGAATTCCTAATAATTCAGCTAAATTATCACAAGGCCTCTTTAATTTCACTTACTTCTTCAGACTTAAAAGCATAAAGCTTAGACATGTATGTGTGGTTAGGTTGACTGTTTACATAGCTAAATACTGTTTTGTCATCTGGATCTTGAGTAATGAATGACAGTCTGCTGATGGAATGAAAATGCTTTCCAGGCTATAAAAATGTAATCAAAGAAAAACTTGACATACACCTAAAAGATGATTTGTAAGATTTCCAAGAAGACATCTCTGTAGGGAACTTAAATATGATCAAGCAAGTTTGCAGCCCAAATTCTGATAAAATGGATAGACTGTAAAAAATTGGGATTGGATTTGAGAACGGATTCAAATTTTCGGGATAAAATTTATACAATATTATGATAAACAAATTCTAAACTCTGTCTAGATATGAGTCCTGCCAATACATAGTTCACAATGTGTCTTCCAGTATCCTGCCCAAAAACGTCTCGCCTGTGCCTACAAAGGCGAATTTCAATTTACAACATCATTTGGCATTCTGAGATTGATTTATGCATGAAATGTTCGCAGCCCTTGCCAAACTTTAAATCATGCATGTGATAAATGAACCACATGTTCTGCTTCCAAACATAAATGTTACAGGTATATAAACCCAGGTATGTTTATTCACAATCAACATATCAAATTTGATTGTTTTGCAAAGTTCAAAATAAAGGTGTGTTACAGTTTCAGTGTCACCTTAATTCTGCAATAATGCAATGTATTTAAGGTTGCTCTGAACATACTTCAAATATTATTTTAAAACTTCAGTCACAATTCAGGCCAGTTTGAATTTTGTGATTTTGCCTCACACACACTTAACGTAATTAATATTAGTATAATTACTGTAGTGATTATAGAGATGTATATGCTCTAATTGGTAGGGGATTGCATCATATCTTGTTTGAGGTGATTATAGCAGGAGCACTAAATTTCAAAATGGCTTCCTCAGGCCTTGTCAGTGTTACAGAGGAAGTGATGAAATTGATAGAGAAATTTAATTCCAAATTAGCACAAAAGATGCTAGTAAGTTTGGAGTAACACTTTTCAAAAGAAAGACATGAAGTTTTTGCTGATTGAATTTAATGAACCTATCAAATTCTAGTGGAAACTGGGCTTTTACATGGGGTAGAAGAGCACAGAACTCTTCATCACAATGGAATGTGCTGCATATAAAATTAATTACCTTATAGTAACCTTGAAACGTGAAATTGAGTGATGTGCGATTAGCTTACTCGCATATACCTTAACTTGGTAGTGTGGAAGTGTGGAAGTATGGGAGTGTGGAAGTTTGGAAATAAACAAATATGCAAATGAACCTTTACCTCACTGACATGCATTTATCTTAACTTGGTAGTGTGGAAATGTGGAAGAGTGGTAATGATAAATGTTCTCGCAGAGGAAGATTTCTTGATCACGGCCTACAACCTCGGGCGGTGCTCAAGACCTCGGGTTCAGTTTTTCCCATATATGTTTATACATGGCGTATAAACTGACGTGCATATGTTAGATAATTAATAAAGTACAATATGTTGGGTAGTAAGAAATTTAAAGGACTAATATTTTTTACCTTATATTCATTTGTCACCATCTATTTAAGATGATTTTTTTAAGGAAGATGTCAGAAAGAAGAAAATTCCTTCAAAAAATTTCACTTACAAGACTTAGTGCTTAGTCTGTTCACATCTTTTCCACCCTTTTCCATTTTATTAATTGTGTATTTTCATTCACCTCTAAAAAACATCTTTGCTAACTCCGCAAATATGCATAGATGCTACTAAAAGCAGGATGGAGAATGGGAAAATGAAATGGGAATTTGAAAATGGGAAATTATTCAGACATGCTTTGATGCTACTCTGGTATAAAGATTTAATGAATGTAACCAAGAAGTTACAATTCAAAGACCCAACGTTTCGACACTCCTGTCTAGTGCCTTCATCAGGGGTGATCTAAACGCTGCAAAAAGAGGTCCTTTTATACGCTCACTAATTAGCTGCACTTTTTTTTGACGAGGTGTAAATAGGCGTTAGGAAGTAAGCCGCCATCATCACGATTTAAAGGAGTGTAGGCGGAATTGATATGCCAGGCTTCCAAACAAAGGCGCTGGTGGTACCGCATATATTTTTCAGTGGTGGTAACGTGATGGTAATTTTAGAATTATCCCACTCAATTGCATGGTTGGTGAGGCATGTGTGCTCCGACAAAGTTGAAATTTCATTTTTGCAAAAGAAAACCGCTTTTTAATGCTCTTTCAAACGTGTACCAAACTGACGTTTGGTCTGTCCGATATACTCGTGATCACAGTCATTGCACGGAATAGAATAGATAGCGTCGATTCGTTGTTCTTCCGTGACAGGATCCTTAGGTTTTGCGAAAAAATGCTCCAAAGTCTGAAAAGGTTTATTTCTTTTTGTCCATAACCACAACACAATTACCCTTGTCAACAGATGGTACAAGCCTGTTCGGATCCTTTTTGAGAGCTATAAGCGCATTGAAAACATCCTTTTGAATGTTTTTGGGAGGAGATTTAACAGGCCTGATTATAGTGCTTACATCTGCTCGTACCAAGTGCTTATGGCTGAGGAGAGAAAACATCTTTCTAAAGTCCTAAAGGCAGATGGCTATTCCAAAACTTTTCTCCCTAACTGCTAAAAGCCAGTTACAACTAATAGCACTCCTGAGGAGAGGGAACCAGCGACTTGTTTTGCCTTTACTCCCTACATTCAGGGTGTTATGGAACCCATATCAAGAGAACTTTGAATAGCCACAACGATAAAATTGCTCGAAAACCTTTTCATTAAGTCTTTAAATCAGAGTAGCATCAAACCATGTCTGATTGTCTAGCTGGTCGCCATGTGAACTTTAATATATCTGGGAAATTATTAATTTTTTTTAAGTTTACTGTTTATAATACGAAACAATACGAAACATATATTTTTCAGCGGTCATTATCGATAACCACGTTTTCTTTCAAAAACATTCTGGGACAAAAAATAAGAAACGGAATAAATTGATGATATGGAAAGAAGTTACACTAACTTGTTTCGTTAAGTCACTATCTGAAGCTTAGCGCGTAACCAAAATAATTTCTATGATACTTTCAATCAATTTTCCAAAGGAAGGAATGATTTTGGTTAACATCAACAATCGAGGCTCTGCTCGGCTGTTTGTTCACACTTACAGGATGAGAGTACTCATATTTTCGGGAAACCCACGGAAGTTCAGGAGTCTGATGCATCACGCGCTATTAATATTTATGTGAAATTCCCACCAGCTTGGCGCGTCTTAAGTACGGGGCCATTGAGTTCTATAAGGAACCGCAAAACCGTTGAAAAAAAAATCACG